AAACGAGTGGTCTTGTGCGTCGGTGTGAGTGTCTGTAAGTGTACAGGGAGAAAATACATGTGTAATATCTTCTGTAAATCCTGTGTCCATGCCCCATTGTCCATCTCCCATTGAACAGAGCAGATCCTTTGTTGACCTGTCAGCTGCCCGGCAGACATCGACATCAGGTGAGACTTGTCTTCCTGTTTCATAGGTAAAGAACTGGTTCAAATCAGTTGTCGCTACGCTGTCGTATGTAGAGAAATACGGGCTTTCTGCAGTGCCAGTGGCTCCTTCGTTGTCCAGTGTGAATCTTGAGTCTGCCTTTGTAAAGTTAAAGCTGTCACAGTACAAATCTAAAGTCCTGCAAGCGATTGCCAGCTCCGTCTCCTCTTCCATATTGAAAACATGGCACTGTGCTTCTCTGTTTTTTGTTGTGTTTTCTCCGGTTGCACAGCCAGCAGTCATACCAGGAACCAGTGGCAGCAAGATCCTCCGTCCTCTGTCCCAGTGCTGCCACAGAGGGACAGCTATCCTTCTCGCTGCCTCCTCTACCTGCTCTAACCACTCCTTCTCATCCTCCAAATTCCCCTCATCTATTATTTCATTTTCACATAATGACTTCTGCATTCTTTCCGCACCTCTCAGCAGTTCCATCATTTGATTGTCTGATCTGAAACCGCATTGATAGTCACTTATTATCGATGTAGAAGAGAGCCTGTGGTTGAGGTAGTGTTTGTCCATCACTGGCCCCCCACCCAATTCCTGAATAATCTTTGGATTATTCCCTTGATGTTCATAAAGTGGATCAATAGTTGGCCTGGGTCCTGAGCAGTCATGTTCAGCCGCTGACGGTTCAAACTCAAATCCTGTCTGGTGAGGGTCACATTTCCTTACCTGGCTGAGTTGACCCTGGTTGAGGGTCCGGTGGGAGGTAGACCCTTGAGAACTCACTAGATCAGACTTTGGTTTAGGTGCCATCTTGTCAGAAAGTTGGTACAGGCCCAAGCTCTTGCCATAGGCCTCGGAGATGATCTGGTCATTCGACAAACGTTGGAATAGAGCACAGATCTCAGCAGGAGAGGACCGAGTCAGAGCTTCCTGCACTCTGTCCAGAACCTCCTCAAACTGGGCCATGGCGGCACCTTCTTCTCCCCGGACATTGATGTCTTTAAAGAGAGAGCTTGGGTAGATGATTGAGTTTAAAGTTTTTTTTACCAAGGGATACAATGATTTTGTCATGGGGGCATTACCATTAAAAGAGGGAGGTGTTTGTGCGGTTGAAGGGGAGGTGTATTCAAAGAATTGTTTCATTTCTCGTGTGGGAGTATAGAGGGACGTTAATGGACTGAAGGCAGACGTGTCATAATTATTAGGAAGTGAGGCTAGATTATCCTTTCGCAAGAGCATTTGTTCAGATTCAGCTTTTTTACTTTTATATTTCTACGAATTCACCAGTTTCTTAAGCATTCATTTTGTCTACTTAAAAGTATGCCAATTGTACTTTCCAACAGTCTATACCTTAAGAAAATAGGCCTACTGCTGATGTTTACTTTACACATATCATTTCATCCACAATTCTAGATGATCTAACATGATTTTAACTCAATAGGCAGATACAGTAAAGTAATTTCTTTTTAAATAGCCTGCTTTATAATTGCGTTCGTTATTATAGTTTTTTACTAAATGTTTGATAATTCTAAGCTAGGTTTAAAGTTGCACAGGATCAAAAAGTAGGTCTGGTGTGTTATCGTTTCACTGACTTTTGCTCCGTGTTTTAAATGTTCAGATCACATGTTTATTTCCTTAATAAAACCCCTCCCAAATTCCATGCTGAGCAAGTAGTGATAACATGCCTTTTAACCTGTTTGTAAAGTTAATGATTGAAAGGTGCCTTTTATATTTGATCAAGGGTCAATACCAAAACACGTATACCTGATGCTCATTGGTGTATGAGGAAAGATTATTTATATTAGTGGAAGACACTGATGCTTTGGTATTTAGCCAGTTGAAATTATTCAGTGCACTCTTAACATGGATACATTGATTCACAAAAGCTTTTTCATTGACTGCTGACTACTCACTCACAAGCTGATAGGGGCTGCAAGGGACATACAGTAGGCCTACGGTTCACTCTGGGATTTGGTATTTGTCCTGTCCATATCTTCACACCAAAGTATATTTCATTCAATCAAACATTTTAAGCTAACAGTAGTTTAAAACAGGACTGAAGACTGATGTCATTTCTGGGGCAATAGAAAAAGTTATTTCCTGAGAAGCCTCTGTAATTTCACTATACGAATATATATCTTAGCTTTAAGCTTTACTGTACAAATAACTGCCTCTTAGCAAATGACATATTTAACGGAGCAGTGGCTGCCACAGAGCAACCAGCATGCAGCAGAATCCTGAGGTGTGCTTTGCTAACAAAACCCAAAATAGCTAACAGCTAATAGCGCTATGAGCTAAAAGAGCTAACAGCTAATATAGCTAATCAAGCAGCATTACTTGAAGTTGCTGTTCAGAGGAAATTGGATATACAGTGAACTGCAGTTTTATGTGACAACAAAACAAGTTTACAGTCAAAGTTGAGCAATGATTGGATGCTTAAGTCAGGGTTGCCAACTTTGGGTACCTGGCTGGAGTGAGATTTTGATATCATGGGTTTAATTACACATATGCGCAGAATCATATAAGTACATCAGGTTTCATAGAGCTAAAACATTTTAAGTGCTACTCAACTGGCTTTAGATAAGCCAGTCCTTTATTAGTATATAAGTGCTTTGTTAATAGTTCTATCGATCGAAGTGGAGTCGAAAGAGATGAGTTTTCAGTCTGCGCCGGAAGATGTGTAAGCTATCTGCTGTCCTGATTTCAATGGGGTGCTCATTCCACTATTTTGGAGCCAGGATAGCAAACCCACGTGTTTTTGCTGATGGGAACTTGGGTCCCCCTCGCAGTGCGGGTGCAGCGAGCTGTTTGGCTGATGCAGAGCGGAGTGCACGTGCTGGGGTGTACGGTTTAACCATGTCCTGGATGTAGGAAGGGCCAGATCCATTCACAGCATGGTACGCAAGTACCAGTGTCTTGAAGTGGATTCTAGCAGTTACCGGAAGCCAGTGAAGGGAGCGGAGGAGCGGCGTGGTGTGGGAGAATTTAGGAAGGTTGAAGACCAGACGAGCCGCTGCATTCTGGATGAGCTGCAGAGGTCGGATGGCACATGCAGGTAGACCAGCCAGGAGGGAGTGGCAGTAGTCTAGGCGTGAGATGACGAAAGCCTGGACCAGAACCTGCGTCGCTTTCTGGGTCAGCTGGGGACGTATCCTCCTGATGTTGTAAAGAGTGTATCTGCAGCAGCGGGTTGTAGCAGCGATGTTTGCAGTGAAGGACAGTTTGTTATCTAGGGTCACACCTAGATTCCTTTTAGTCTGAGTCGGGGAAACAATAGAGGTGCCGATGTTGATTGTTAGGTCAAGAGTGGGACAATCTTTTCCCGGAAGGAGAAGCAGTTCAGTCTTGTCAAGGTTGAGCTTGAGGTGGTGAGCAGACATCCACCGAGAGATGTCCGCTAGGCAAGCAGAGATGCGTGCGACGTCCCAGTAGCGGGACCTTAGCATAGGATATATATACAATATATACAAATACACAATATTGGACACAGACTATAAAGGGCACAAAGTTTCATTCACTAATGAAAGTCAAACATGTTTGTTTCCACTGTTTTATTGTGTGCATAGGCCTGTCGCGATAAGCAATTAATTGACTTATTGTACGATAAATAAAAATGAACTCGATAACTTTTCTGACCTCGATAAATTGCCATTTACATGAGGATGTGACAAGCAGTTTGAAAGGATGTACTTGAATTATTATTATAATATATATTATCATTATGTCAGTGGTCTAAAATGGTCATACAACGGTGCCGACAATATTATCGTTTATCACAATAATTTCCGGAAAAATGTATCCAAAATTAATTATCGTGAGAGGCCTATACATGAAACACACACACACACAAATCTAGACTTACTCCAAACTGCCAAATATATTAATTAACACACTCTCACTCTCATATACTCTTTGATATATTTTGGCCAAGTAGAACAATAAGCAGCAGACTTTTACTTATATAGCTACGGGTCGGGGATTGACCATAGACTGAATATAGACCAACCGGCTCCCACTGCTCTGCTGTCTGTTAACGTTGTTAAGAGTGGTGGGGGCGGGGAGGGAGCGGATCGACAGCTTGAGCAGCTGTCAACTCAACATTGTAAATAACCAAACAAAAACGATCACTGGTTCAATTTGTTTTTGGCGTGAGAATAGCTTGGGCAGCGTGAGAGCGTGAGATTGAGAGTGAAAGCGTGTGTCACACGCCAGATGCGTGAGAGTTGGCAACCCTGCTTAAGTACTTTGGACTAGTTTGGTGTTGCAGACACTTTACATTTACCAATCTTTTGTCAGATGTAGCTACTGAAGTACACTGCTGAGGTACTTGTACCATGAAAACAAAAACTGTATATTGAATACAAATTGCTTTACACAAACTAAATATAAAAACTACCAAAAATCACACAATATATGACACAGACTATAAAGGGCACAAAGTTTCATTCACTAATGAAAGTTTGTTTCCACTGTTCTCATATACATTTGGATAATTTTGAAATCAATGCTGTATCTTTTACTGGGACTTTCTTTCATATAGGGCTCTTTTAGGGAGTTTACCTATGGGCATAGATTTATCTTATCTCAAGTCATAACACAATCATGAAGTCAAAGTAGAACTTAGTGAGTGAAACGAACTCTCTCTGGGGCTTTGTTGTTTTGTCTGTTTGCAGGATACAGATGCAGTTTCACATGTGGTTTTCAGAGAACCCAGAAGGAACTACAGCCATGTTTGGCAAAGTACACAACTTATACAAACACATCTTAAATGATTTGTAAACAGATACAAAGTTTGCTAACTGATAGAAAAATCTTTGATGGTGATTTTATGTTTAGTCATTTAGTCCAAGACAGTTTAGAAACGATTTATTCTTTAATCTTCTGTAAATCCCCAAAACATTTGATTTATTGCTGTAAATCAGTAATGACTTGGCCTCCCACCACAATTATTTGAATCTTCACATCTGGTCATTGAAGTACATTTGGCCTGCAACTTTTATGTATGAAAACATTGTACAGATCATGCACATTTTGGTCAGTGGCTCGGACTCGTTAGTGAGTTTCAAGTTTCAATCCTCATATGCACATATCTTAAACAAAGTAATCCATGTAGTTCTCCGTGATTCATACATTCAAACTTTCTATTCCCTTGCTGTGCAGACAACAATCAAATGATATACTGAGGATTCTGTTTTGTATTTAGAAGACTTAGTTAATAATAACAGTAGGAGCCACAACATGTTCTAAAATAAATTGTTTATGCTACAGCTTGATTTACTACATGACCAATGTTTTTACTTCCTCAATTAGCACCTCCTTTACTAGAGCACACTGTAAACTCACTGTATATTCAGTAGCTTGGGATGAACCTTACTTTAAAAAAGAAATTCAAGGTCTGTTGATAATTTATAATTTTGTTATTGTCTGCAACTTCCTGGTAAGGACTTGAAACAACAATACAATGATTGATAAAGTTGAACTTGTGTATACAAAGCCTCATCTAGCTTCCTCTCGGCTGCAGAACTACAATGGGCCACTGCTGCACTCGGAGAGATATTGCTGTGCCTGAGTACAATCACCATCTCAAACAAAGGTGCTTTGATTTTTAAATGGTCCCTAATAAATGTAAAAATGTACTCCCGTTTGAGAAAGGTTAACAAAAAAACTTCAGTGTCCTAGAGGCTGACGATATTGACCGACAGCATTGCCCATTGCGGGTTTTGGTCATTTTAAATGGGATTTGTAAGACAATGAAATATCAAAAGCTTCAATATTTTTAAGATAAATGTTAACAGTGTCCTTATCTCAATTATAAATCATGGTTTTCAATGCTTATGTGAATTTAGCTTTCAGATGAAAGAATCCATGTTTAAAATTAGTACCCAAAGACCACCAATCATAATAATGCTGTTATTATGTATTTACATCACATGTATTACAATGAGGAACTAATCACTATTATATTACAATTAAATCCTCACAAATAAACTTTTTTCTGTAGAAACTGTATTTTCCGGAATAAACAACTGCACTGTAAGGTCTGAGCATCTCACCAAAGTGGCTTATAAGAATGTTGGCTTTGGGGAATCATGCACCAGCTTTCCTATGTGTGTTTTTGATTCAGTAGTTAATTATTTCCACCACACATCATTTGATCGGTCTCTGTGATGTGGTCCAACATGGCCGCCTCCATCAGAGTGGCTTCAGGTGCTGCTCTGATCCTCTGTCACACGGTTGGAACAGTAGTCCTTGATACCTGGAGGAAAGAGGAGAGGAAGGTGGATAAGAGTGGCGTGTGGTGCAGTGGGGATAGTGCGTTGGTATTCGGATCAGGGGGTCACAGGTTCAAACCCCACTGCTCTTCTTGTATTTAAGTTCTGGGTATATCAATCAAAATCAAAATCACTGTGATTGATCAACTTTGATCTCTGGCTGTTAGAAAGTTATCACATTTCCATTCCTCCTTCTTCCCCTTTTAGTCGCTTCCCACTTTATAGTGATCACTTCTTCTTTCATGTTATTAAATCAGGAATTGCAACATCAAGTAACCCATCCAGTCATCAAAAATAACAAAGGAATTAGCTGGAAGCCGTATGTGCGTCCAACTTCCTTTCTTTAAAATAAATCTTTAATATGATGCAAAAACGGACGTCAGAGATGTTGTGTATGTGTGTTGTTTTAATGGATGATTGCACACTCACTCTGCACGATATTCAGGTAGACCTTAGCAGCAGGAGAGTCGGGTACTTCGTTCAGGAAAGACTTGCCCTCATCGCAGCTTCGGGCTATCCTCGGGTCTAGAGGGACTTTTCCTAACAGCGGCAGATCTAAATCCAAACACATTTTCTCTGCGCCCCCGCTGGTGGGAGGGAAAATCTGCGATGTGTTCTACAAAAGAGTGGACAAAGAAAATCAAAGTTATTAATTCATAATGCAGCTTCTATTGACCCTAAGTTACATACAATATGTGCTTATTTAACATGCTGAGCTCAGGGATAGAAAAGTGGTGATATCAAAGACATCAATTAAAATCCATTTGTGTGTTTTCCTACATCAATAATGACATATATGGTTTTCTATATATGGTTGAATTAGGAAAGCAGTAACACCAACATTGCTGTTACCTGATAGCGAACAGGACACAATGTATAGTGTTTCAATCCACTTTTTAGTTCACAATGTGATAAACACAGATAAAAAGACTAGATCTTAATCAAAGTAACATATAAAAGAAAAGTTATGATGAATGAGTAGGAAAAGTTTGGAAAGGATGACTTGAGTTATTGAATGGGTTGTGTGTGAACAATTTAACCATGCTTTTTCCACTATCCTCACAAGAGACTGCAATGAAACCTGTAATCATGGTAACTGTACACAAAATAAATGGTTACAGCTGTTGCCCTAATATGCATGACAGAATAAACTATTCCAATTCAATGACGAAAACTACACTAAAATGTATTTTGTTGTTTAAAAGTAAAACCAAATAAATGATAAAACTTTGAAAAAAACTAATACACACATACTTAATCAGAATCTGGTGTCAGAAATGAACTCTTATGCACACACACAGATGTTATAAAGAGCTGACAACATCAAAGCAGTCGATGGCGAGACATCGTGATTTTTGGTCAGTAGTGTGAGTCAAGAACAAGTAACACTGCATTTCCCATAATGCAACTCAAAAGCATGTCTAACGGCCCGTCCACACTACAGCTTCACAAAAAGCTTGCCGGCGGGCGTGTCTGAAGCTCGACCAACAACCAATCACATGAATCTCCCGCCCCTGACACACAAGCAGCGGTTTGATTGGCTAGAGCTTGTGCTGGCATATGATTTGATTGGCTGACGCTTCCACCGAAAGCTTCAGAAGCTTCAAAAGTTGAACATTGCTCAACTTTTGCAGCCTGAAACGCCAGGAAAGCTCCGCTCTACTACCCACAATTCAGTTCGGCGAAAAGCGAGGCAACGTGACGTCACCCCATTCAAAGTGAATGGGCAGACGCGTTGGAAACCGTTTTTGAAGCTGTAGTGTGGACGGGCCGTAAGTGAAATTGGAGAACCATGAAGACTTCACTATGGGAGGGGAAATCAGTCCTGTCTTGTCACATCAAGTGCATTTCAATAAATATATTAATTTAATATTATCACTAGAATCTAATTGAATAATTGTCTGTAGGAAAGAGGCTGGTCTAGAGGGGTCTCACCACGAAAACTATCTCAGGGGACACAAATACTGAGAAGAAAAATGAATCAGACATTAAGGATCAAAGAAACACACAGAACTTTGTTGATGTTTGTGTTAACAAGGTGCACTGAATGTATTCGAGAGACTGGAGGCTCATTCTGTGATTCTTTTTTAACAGTCTGTGGGTCGACTGAGAACTGCTGGCTTGTGTTTTGACATAATTCAGACAGCAAGGGAAGCATTTCAACTTCCTGATAGCACTTGCATTAATGCACAGGAATAACAATTATAAAGCTATAAAAAGGTCCCCTATTGTACTAATGTTCAACAATATATTATAGGTCTCAGATACAGTATATAGAAACCATGTCTTGAAGTGTTTTGGCTCGAAATACCAAACAGATCATTGTAGCATTACCCATAATCCCCTCTGTTTCAGCCCTGTTTCCAAAGTGCTGATTCTCTGTGTGTTACTCTAGATGAAAACAAGGAGCCCTTCCTCACGCCGCTCTGAGAGAGATTTGGTTAAAAAGAACAAAATGGTGCTCTAGGAGGAAATTCAGGTGATAAGCGGGGGAGGGGGGAGGGGGGGGTTACCTTGGTTGGTGATTGACTAATGGTTACACAAGCCAAAAAAACGTAAAAGTAAAACATATAAACATAAAGTGGCCAAAATCTGATCAGCTCATTTTCAGACAGGTTTATATAAAAATGGATCAGGACAAAAAGAGAGGGGGTCTTTTTTCCTGAAACCTTTAGAATCTCTTTACACAGAGGGGACACATGTTGATGTATAAAAGACATTAAAAAGTGGACTTTGCATAATAGGTGACCTTGAATGCTTTTACTACTCCTAACTGGTTTGGCTGTAGCAGATGAAGTGACACTGTGGTCAAGATGGTCTCCTCCACTGTTCCTCTTTGCTGTGTGCACCCTGCAAAACTGTCTAGACATCTGCTTTTTGATATGATTCTAGACTGCCTTCATAGATTTGGTCTGACCAACTGTTTGCGTCACTGTGTTCGTCAGTGACCTTGCACGAAGGGCAGACGAAGCCACTCATGTTCTCCACCACTCCGATGATTGGCAGCTTGACTTTCTGACAGAACCGGATTTCCTTCCGCACATCCTGCAACGATACCTCCTACAGAGAGAAAGGGAGAGCAGAGGGGATACAGTCAGAGGGGCAAAACAAATTCACTGGTGAAAGTGAAAATTATTTCCCCTTCCCTTGCAATTGCTATTATGTATGAGAAAAAAAGCAGTTGGCTGCACTAGATAAAATTGACAGCTCTCAAGTTTAATGTGCCAAAAAATAGTTTACTTTGATACTTGAAGTACGCTACCCTGGCTACTGATAGCAACAACACAGGTTCTGTGTTAGGGTAATTCCCACGTTGTGCGCGGCCACGTTTGGTTAAGTGAGAGCTGAAGGAATGAGGAAGTGATTCTCCTGCTGTCTGACCTTATGCGTCCAGGCCTTATTTAAATAGCAGGAAGCGATGGTCTCTTTCACAAAGTAAAGTAAAACTTGATTTTAGTTGTTGTTGACGAATTTTAACAAGAAAACAAATGTACTGCGACAAATATTCTACAGGGATAAGACGACAACATCTGTTACGACATACAGCCAGCAACTCATTCTACTGACAGTACAGACTGTTAGTGGCCGGCTCTGTTGTGATTGGTCAACCGCTCAGAGATGTGCCACATACAATATCACGTACAATGTATTGGAGTGCTAGCCAATAGAAGCACGGGTGTTACATAGTGATGTCACTGTGTTACAGAAGTAAACAAAAGAGGCCAATGGAGGTGTTTCAGGTGTGTGGAAACTACCTCTGCGTGAACTTTGGGATTTTAGCCTTTCATAAAAGGGCCTCTTTAACTACTGACAATTTTTTTTAGCATGATTACAAGAAAGAAAATAATTAATAACAGCCAACTCCTAACGTTAGCTTCGATTTGATACAGTGGTACATTTTTTTAACCTACTGTTTACAAACTGACAATATCCACCAATGGCTGCAGTAAAGGTCCCCTGTGCAATTCCATTGAAGTCTTTATTACAATTGGGTCTGGGGCTTAGAAACACTTAGTAACTATATAAAGTATTCATACAAGTTCAATGTTTATCTGTGTGCTAAAGATTGGATTGATTATGGTTATTATGGCATCAGCCTTGTTGGTGCCTGGTTAGTTCACACCCCCATCTAAATGTTTAAGGTGTGTATCCCTGGCATACAACCAAGCCAGAAGTATTTGTGTGACCCGGTGAAAGGACTTCCAGTCAGAGTATAAAACCTTAAGTCTCCTATCTTTTATCTGAAGATAGGTAAAGATACACATGTTGTTGGCCCCGTTTACAATTCCCAGTATTGCTTTCGATATCGCACCACAACAGGTGGTAACTTGCTGTATTAAGCCCTCTTGTATTCATGTAGTTGGTGAAAGACACAACAGTAATGGAGGGTTATTCCAGAGCCAATCAAATGAGATCACACGCTTCACCTGAAACACTTACTGTACAGGTAGATTGCATAATGGCCTGCTGAGGTAACTCCTCTGTTCTTCTATTTCAGTTTGTGATTGCTAAATATTTGCAAACTCTAGCTAAAAGCTCTGTTTTAAAAAGGACATTTAAGAAATATATAATGTTCACTGCAAACGGCACTTTGTCTAGAAAAATAGCAGTGTTACATTGCTGGAAATATCTCAGTATAGTTAGATCACAAAAAGTCTATTAGTCTCTCCCTGGAGAATAGCACTAAGATGCATCAAGCAAAGCGTCTGTGGTAATGTCGCGTTTTGAGTAATGAGTATCTTGTTCTCTGTCTTTTAATAGCACTGAGGCTTTAAGTGTCACTATCAATACATGTATTACTCTGTAGAGGTTCTTGAAAATCACCGGCTGAATGAACAACTCAAGCTTGTTGAAGTTAATTCTAGGAAATGTCGGAACTAATCAGGTGTAGTGAAAGCAGAAGACATTTGAGGGTGGAATTTCCCTTTAGGCTGCATTCACATGACCAGCCAGACACGACATGTGCTGATATTGTCATCCTCAAACCTTCCATTGCCGACCTTTTGATGCGTTAACAATCAGATAACAGCTGTTTTAAAGTGGCACAAAATAGCATGAAAGCAAACCATAGAAACAAAACCAATGAGCTGTTTTAAGCACTGCACCCACAATTCTTTGCAAAGCTAATTACGTATCATATGAAGGCAGTTTTTACAGTTAAACTATTATTAATATTAAGAGAGTTCCCACAGCTTCTTCAACACCAGGTCCAAGGACTCTGATATTTTTGATAACCCTAAATTCAAGGAGCTAACACGGAAGGTTGGGCGACATGAATCCTATTTGGATTGCAGATGTTAAACCTGCATCTTTCAACTTCAAAAGGGCAAAGCTATACTTTCACCTTCAAAGCTTTATTTCAGCTTTTGGCACTTATAGTGCATTAAAAACATAAAATAACGCTGACTAGACAAAAAATAAATAAAAAGAAACCTTGAAAACGAAAACAAATAAGAAATAAACAACCAGAGTTGGAACTCGATTAACTTCGGAGTTGCAACACGGACAGACTTGGCATTTTGTGTTTTTACAATCGGGACATAACATATTTACATTAAGTTAACACAAATCAACAGAGCTTCAATATCTATTTGGGAATTCTAGCACTTTGACTCACCTTTCAATGTCTATGTTCAAAAATGATTAAAGGCCTTTCTTTTTTCCCCTTAAAAATGTCAAAGTTCGTGGGAAGCATGGTTAGCTTAGATGTGTTAGCATGTGCTCTACCTGTGGTGTGGTGATGATCACAGCTCCATCGATGTGGGTGGAGCTCAGGTACTGGACGATTGACAGGTGTTCGTCAGAGGTGCCGGGGGGCGTGTCCACGATGAGGTAATCCAGCTCCCCCCAGTCAACATCCCTCAAGAACTGCTTGATCATCCCTGATGTCAGACAAACAACCCACCGGTTACACTGGTGTGACCTTTGGACAAAATATTTAGACACATTTGAGACGTACACACAAACACTAATACCGTTCTTCTTGGGTCCTCTCCAGATCACAGCATCGTCAGGGCTGCTGAGCAGGAAGCCAATAGACATGACGGCCAGGTTGTCATCCACGTACTGCAACATACATTACACACAACGATCAATTATGGAGTAAAAACTAAATGTAAACAAGGGTGAAATCTCACTTGAATTATTACATTTTTAATACCCTTCTTTTTTGGAATGTTATACGTCTGAAAGCCCAAGATAGAAAGACACCATTTAACATCATTTCAGACAAGGACTTATGTTTGCCATGCATTACTATTTATCTGTAGTAGAACTGGTTATGAATTATTGAGGGCTGGTTTGATTGTTCATTTTGTTTGGCTTAATGTTGGTTGCAAGGATGATATTGCTGTCTCACTTCTGTACTTGATTGTTAATTAAATGAGTTATTTGTTTAGGTTCGTTGTGTTGATGTGTATATAGTGAGTAGATGTGTGTTTGAATGTGTGTGTGTGGAACCCAGGAAGAGAAGCCAATGCTCTTGCTAGTACTAATAGGCATTCTCATGAAGACAAAAAGATAAAGAACATGTGCATTCAGGAAATATGCTAAATATGTGAAAGATAAAAAAAAATAACAACTACATTGTTTGAATAAACTCACCACAGGAGACCAGCCTGAGCCACTCTGATGAACCTGTGGACAAAAGAACAGATGTTATACTTACGCTGAAATAAAATGTTAACATAATTCAAGTCAAAGCAGAAATGACAGGTTCTTTCATAGCATGTATGTGTGTGTGTGTTTCTGCTAAGATGGCTACCCTCAACTCACCTGTTCTCCCTCTAAGCCCATGATCCTAGGAATGGACGGACCACAGATATCTACATCCAGCAGGGCCACCTGAAAACAGAGAGCAGAATAAACATTTTAAGAAAGAATTTTATAAAATGATTGGAGCAGTAAAGATCTGCCTGTATCATGAACCTTATGACATTTCACCTCTGTTAACCCGAGTCTACAGTGACCTCTAGTGGCATTTAGTGGACTTGAGAAAACAGAAATCTCGAACCTTAAAAAGTGTAAGTATCATACAATGACCGTCAAAGAAAAAGACAACTCTATTAATAGTCAAAAGTTTGGTAGGTTTTTTGAGATCTCATTGTATTGTTAACTACCAGGATGTTCGCTCTGTGGCTTGCACAGTAAATAAAGCACAAACATTTACCTCTTTTGTGTTGTCACTTGCCAGGGCGTGAGCCAGGTGAGCGCTGAAGGTACTCTTCCCCACTCCTCCTTTTCCAGACAGCACGAGAATAATGTGTTTGACCGTCGCCATCTTCGCTCCAATCTCTGCTATGGCTGGAGATGAAAAGGAAGGAGAAGACTCTTTATACACTGAAATATTGATTGCTTAACTTTAAATCATAAAACACATGTATACAATATTGAGATGTGTTCTTACCGGGGTCGGGGGCCTTGGTGGCTCCAGAAGCACACGCTTTCTGGTTGGGACAGCCATCACATGACGACGTCTTTCCTGCCTGCTCACTCGCTGTGCCCGGGCAGTCTGAGGGGATGAAACACATCAGTTATCAGCATGTCGTCTTTATCAGATCACCTTAAATGTATCGGAACCCAATACATGTTTTGGAGGCTGAAGTTAAATTAAAGTATACGGTTCAATTTATTTTTTAAAACTCTTAAACCCCTGCCTGCTTATACGAGTGTCATTTCAAGCTTGGATAAAACCAACAGGAGTCAAGTAAAGAAGCCATAGTTTCAACAACAAAAATTAACTATAAGCACATTTTTGGGAATTATGCATAACATGTTGCACAATGGGTTTGTTTTTAAATAGTTCACTCAGTGTAAATAAAACTTCAAAAGACATGCATGCCATTTTAACAACATTCAAAATAATTAAATGGAGAATAAAAAGGGATATTAGATGTACGGAATATCCAATACCTTACTGGGATAAAGAATATATTATTTATTAAATAATTACACCATTTTACATTGTAGAACATGGTTAAATGGGTAATGTTATCACTGGTTGTGGAGGTTGAGAACTGTGTCAGGATGACTCAGCAACCTTGTCGATAGTGTTGACAGCTAAGAAAATACATTCAGTATTGTTTAAGTAGCACTATGTATTAATGATATATTGTTCAGGCAACAATTATCACATTCTGCAAAGGCATTCATCTGCTAAGTGCTGACACTTGGCAACACCCGAGTGAGTGCGTCATTAAACATCGTGGCTTGACAGCAGTACCAGTCCACATGCGTATTTAATATAAACGTAGCTTATCGATACTCTCAAACACTATCGGGGAAATGGCAAGTAGGCTACTGTGTTGTCAACAGAGACGTGTTTAGCACTAAAAGTGAAACAATCTTCAAAACCATCTCGACCTTATAGTCACGGCAATGTTACATAAAGCTGACCAACACAATAGTGTACAAATAAGAAATAATTTAAGTTTAAAACTCACGCTGCGGTGCATCATCTGGTACGTCGGCCATCATTAAACGAGTGTCCTCCGGTTAAAGTCTTCCCCCTTCGAAGGTTCCGAGTACGCACAACATGATCGTGCAGTATGTACCTGCCTTTTAATAATACAATCATAATACATGTATTTATTTAGTTATTATTGTTCCTATGTATTCCAGCTGGGCCAATATTATTAATACTGGCTGTGGGTTTGTTTTTGATGATATGTGATCATCTGTTTTGTTTTTGTCTGTGCATCTAGCATACAAAAAGCAACATCCTTGCAAATGGAACTCTTCTTGTCTTCTAAAACAAGTTCAATAGTAAATCATTCCTCTACAGAATTAAGTTAAAACACAACATTAAACTTAATTTATTAAGGATTTTTGTGCAAAGAAAATAGCAGAGCCAAACAATGCCACAGTGGTGTACCATACACAATCATTACAAACCGAATATTGGGCCACATAGGCGTCGTTTGATCTGGGGACGCTGGGGACATGTCCCCACCACTTTTGGAAATGGCCAATTTTGTCCCCACCACTTTTTAAAAGTATAACTTAGAAATGTTTAAGAAAAATAGCGTGCAGAAATAAATGTAATAAACAAGAACAATGGTTTAGTGTCAAGATGTGCCATTTGGACATGTTATTAAACCTTTAATAGAACATGTAAAAATGTGCAGCAGCACTGCACTTTAAAAAAAAAGTAATGTAAACCAAAAATGGTCCCCACCACGTTTTCTAACTAAGTGACGCCAACAGTTTAAGATAATTACGCTGGAATATATGGTGTAAAGCTCAAGAGGATTAACTGTGTCCACTAGGTGGTGCTGTTGTTTTATTTATATGTCATGCAAACTGATTCATCCTGAAGCACTTCTGTTTACATGAAAATCATTAATTGAGTGAATTGTAGAAGGTCTTATGGAGCATCAGTCCAGAGCCAAAACATTTCAAGTGCTACTCAACTGGCTTTAGATAAGCCAGTCCTTTATTAGTATATAAGTGCTTTGTTAGTAATTCTATCGCTCGAAGTGGAGTCGAAAGAGTATGACACATTCATATGTTTTAAATATTAAGAAGCCCTGAGACACAGTTTCGTGAAAAAACTACCCGCAGCTCTCGGGCTTAGCAGGTTAAAAAATTCTGCAAAATCTTTACATTGTCGCCATGTGAAATATATCCCCACCTGTTTAACCTCACTCTTTCTCTCTCTAGGGGCTCATACAACAGGTGTGTGTGTGTGTGTGTGTGTGTGTGTGTGTGTGTGTGTGTGTGTGTTTGTGTGTGTGTGTGTGTGTGTGTGTGTGTGTGTGTGTGTGTGTGTGTGTGTGTGTGTGTGTGTGTGTGTGTGTGTGTGTGTGTGTGTGTGAGTGTGTGTGTGGTCTTTGTATCCCACAGTTGTTTCTGTCCAAACACATTTAAACTTTGCGACAAAGCCGTTTTATTGGCTAACTGGCATAAGGGAAATGTGGAGAGACAGCAAGCGCATTTCGTGGCATCTGCGGGCAGTGGCAAGTACTTCCGGCATCTGCCACAGAGGCCGCTACTCCGTG